TGTCTTCCCTCTAGTCTTTCACTGCTAAATTAGGGACGGCTAGCGCAGATAGTCCTCGTGTAGCTTTGCGTGAAATTCAAAATAAAAAAAACAACAAACAAACAAACTTAGGGTCTAAAGACAAACAAAAACCAACCAAGTCTAGAATTTTTTTAACCACTAGATGAGAAAACATGGGGTTGGGAAAAATTTAAGAATAATTAATAGATTCATGTAAGTTTTTTTTTAAATGGAAAATTTGCTGTCTGAATTTCAAGAACGTTAAATCTTTTCGAAACTGATTTTTCCGTTTCGTGTTTTAGGTTACGGAAATGTGCAGATGGACGAACAGTAAAGAGTTTCTATAATTGCATGTGGCCCACCTTGTGATTATTATTGTTACTGCATGACCAGAAAGTCTTGAAAACATTACACAAACGTTACGAAAGCTTGACGCGACTGTACGGTGTAAAAGTACTACAAAATGTTTCGAGTTTTGGTCACGTACACGGCTAAGGAAACAAGTCTGTATATGTTAGGACTGTGATAACCATTCTATTCATTCCCGACTCCGACTATCAGATTATTTATTTCCTAGTGCACTTAGCGGGTCGATTTTAAACTTTATGTTGTCTGGTGGTTTTTTTGCTCTGCTGTGCAGATAGTAGTTGTAGTATTTTTCTAATGTTTGGCAGGAGAGAACTTGGTCTCAACGTCACCGAACATGCCGCGGGGTCGTTATAACGTGACGGTCAATCCCACTATTTGTTGGGAGAGAATTTTTCAAATGTTTGGCAGGAGAGAACTTGGTCTCAACGTCACCGAACATGCCGCGGGGTCGTTATAACGTGACGGTCAATCCCACTATTTGTTTAGAAAGAATAGCCCAAGAGCTGGCGGGAGATGTATGTTGACTAGCTGCCTTCTCTCTAGTCTATCACTTCTAAATTAGTGACAGCCAGCGCAGATAGCCGGCGGGTAACTTTGTACGAAATTCAACAAACAAACATTTGACGAGTTCAACCAGTTTTCAAGTTCTTTTTTCGGGGGGTTATTATGGTTAATAGAATAACAGGTATAATAATTTGACCTAAACATTATCCTATTACCAAGATTCACATGCCAAGTTTGTTGACCTTATTTCTAATTACCCTTTGCGTTCCATGGGAGGTGAGGAATAGCCGGACAGCCTAAGAGAAACTCGGTTTGGTCAGTAACATGTTTAAATTGTTTGTTTATTGTTGAGCACGAAGCTACGCAATAGATTGTCTGTGCTGTGCTCAACTCGAGTATCGAAATCCGATATTTAGCGTTGTGTAAACCCTTCAGACTTAACGCTGAGTCACCGGGGGCATGTATAAATTGAGGAAGATTGTAGCTGCATCAAATAAATAAGTATTACCTCACCTTTATACATGGATCTTGATCACGTTTAATATATGAATATTCATTAACTACGATGAGTTATTTTCGTCCCCCTGGTGTGTAGAAGACGCGAAAGAGTTGAACAAACTCGTCGAAAGGTCACTTTACGTAATGCACGTAAACACGACTTGCGCAGTATTACAAAACAAACGAAGGCATGACATGTCTTATTTCAACCTATAGATGGCACTAGTCACACAACAGGTGAAGACTGACGACCGTTGTTACAAAGGTGTTTGTAAACATTTTTTTTTTTAACTAGTTGAGAATAATGATGTATGTTGAGACATGTACAAACTTGTTGTTTCAATGTTTTACATATATAAATATATTTACCTAGAAACTCCATTTGGGCCTTGTGTTTTGGTGCCTGTAATTTCATTCAACACTCACGTTATTAATGTCGGTGGCAGTAGCTGTTTTTTTTATTATTCCAGTACTTTTCTAACTTATCGAGTAATAATGACGTCAATAAAGTTTTATTATTGCTATTATCATTAAGTTTGGGTTTTTTAAGTGACCATATATGCTAGCCATCATTGGGAAACTTCTGGGTACATTTATGGGATTTTAGTCCACGATATAAGTGAACTGTAGATTAGTTTTACAGAGCACAACGCCACCTAGTGGTGTGCTTTATAAACACCAGGTTCAGAACACGGAATAAGTTATTGTTTTGTTTGTTGTTCCAAGGGCGGAGGAGATTACGGCCAGCCGGGTTCCCCCACAAACCTTACGCCGGTTCTTGTTGAAAGTCAAATCCAGCGGTTAGCGGAGGCAGCAGAGATGCTGGTCAAGACGCTACCACCCTTTGAACCTAAACCTCAAAATAACAAGAAGAAGATTAGTAAAGATTTAGAGGTAGGCAATATTGTCTTTAGTAAGGACTGGGGGAACATTCCCCCCGTGACCTAAACCTCAAAATAACAAAAAAGATTAGTAACGATTTAGAGGTGGGCAATATTGTCTTTAGTAAGGACTGGGGGAACATTCCCCCGTGACCTAAACCTCAAAATAACAAAAAAGATTAGTAACGATTTAGAGGTGGGCAATATTGTCTTTAGTAAGGACTGGGGGAACATTCCCCCGTGACCTAAACCTCAAAATAACAAAAAAGATTAGTAACGATTTAGAGGTGGGCAATATTGTCTTTAGTAAGGACTGGGGGAACATTCCCCCGTGACCTAAACCTCAAAATAACAAGAAG